TTATAAAAAAAAATTAAGTTTAGAATGGCATTTTTTTCACTGTAACACAAGATACGAATATTACATTTTGCCCCAAATGCAGCATTTCCCCCTTGGCAGCAAATAGTATTTCTTTTCAAAGAGGAAAGGAATGCGTATTCTTTTTAACAAGTGCATAATAACAACCTATTCTGACAGCAAATAAGCAGTGCAGTGGATATTTATACAACATGCAACATTTAATATATATGCACATTTAAAACCTCTTACTGAAGGTTTGATTTTTTTCATACCAATACAGTTTTTATCACCATAGAAACTTTAACTGTTAGGCGAGATCATGAGGATTATGAGGAAAGACGGTATTGGAAACTGACGGTTGAAAGTTTACGAAAAGACGGTATGAGGATAAAAAGGCTGAAAGACGGTAAAAGGTTGAAGTGGTAAAAGACTAAAATGGCCGAAAGACGATATGTCTCAACATTAGAACAAAAAATATTTACTGAATAACTTGAAAAGACAGAAGAGTTACCAACTTCAATTTATAAGTAATATTAAATGCTATTCTTAACTGAACGTTTTCAGCCTGAAAATAACGAAGCATACTTACAGACAATCGTAAAGTGTTTCAATTTCCTCTTCGTCCCTTGAAGCTTTTTTACTCTCCAAATGGTCTTTCAGAGCCCTCATACTATTTCTTGTCAGACTACTACATAACTGAGAATCATTATCAATTACTTCTTTTAAACAAGGCATATTGTCAGAAATTTCTGTAAAATAAGTCATTATATTTCATTTAATAAGGACGAGAAAAACAAAATAATTTTTAAATTGAAATACATTGTATTATTTCATAAAATCATTTGTTTTAATATATCAGCATTCCATTATCATTGAAAAACATTATCAAATTTTCATTATCATTGAAAATAACATTATCAACTTATCATTATCATTTTCATTATCATAGAAAATAACATTATCAACCTTTTTATCATAATACTCTTTCCCGTACATGTCTTGGAAAAGCACAGATTTGACATAATATGTCAAAATGAATTTTTATATGATATTTAAATTGGTTATATTTTTAAGATACATTTATGTATCAGTTTGAAGTAATTATTTTTTTAACTTAAAATCTAGAGATTCATAATATATTTAATAAGACACTGTTATACCTCGCCCATTATATAATCTGTTATTCGGTTTAAAATATATCGTTAGAGTTGGTGGGGCTATTTTCAACTAAATTTTTCATTTTTAAAATTCTTTCTAATTTTCGAGATACTCTGAAGATCGGAGATGCCTTCTCATCAAACCTCAAAAGTACTCTATCAGGGAGAAATCTGATATTGTATTGGACCAGCGTAGCATTTCGCAAGTTTAAATACAACCAGATGAAATGATTACCATGTGAATTACCTCCTGTCGAAATATGTGTGCATTATATCTTGTTGAAATATGTTTTTATCCAATTGAAATGTAAGTACAGATATCACAAATGACAACAAAAACCGAGTATATGTGAAATATTGTCGATGCACAACTGTGAGTCACAGATACAATCATAGTAGGCAACTTTTAAATGAAATGGTATCCTATATCATTACTCCCATTTGTAGGGTTGTTTCGGTTGATGATGAGATTAATATTACACAGCTGTCATGGAAATCTCCAGACATGTTTTCACTAATCATGCTATGTGTTTATTTTTGTCATGGTTCAACCATTTATCATTGTATAATGACATGCCTTCCATACAAATATCAAGATATAAATTCGATTTGACAAACGTGATTTTTTGAATTGAAAAATATTGAAATAAAAATATTGAAATAAAATTATATTACAGTACGTGTATTTAGTCTGGAGCCCTCTTGGCAGGTGGCTCTAACAAAATCCCCCAACAGGTCCATTCTTTGTTGGTCATAATTATCCAAACCGCATTCTTCTTTCACGCCTTCCACACATCTCACACTAGTTCGAAGATAGCTGTAAAATGATAAAAAATGAAACATTCAGGGTGTTTTAATATGTAAAAAATTATCAATAAATATTTTAACTATAATTTATGCGTTGAGGGTCAAATTATTAGACAGCATGACTTATAATAAGAGAAATTATTAGACAGCATGACTTATAATAAAATAAATTGTTATAATAAACGATAATATCGTTTCTACAGGGAACATTATCGTTGCTCTTTCCGAGTTACTGCAAATGATTTTGGATATATAAAATGGCTTTCAAGTTTTAATCTTTGCGCCTGATGGCCGAGTGATTAGCGCTCCGGTGTCACATCTTCAGGGTTCGAGTTCCGGTGGTGCGACTGCGTGTTCAAGCTACACGTGCCCCTGGGTAGTGTTAAACGAGTAATAGCGTTCGTCGGTGCAGCCCAAACGACATGCCTTCTTCAAGACTAGTTTAAATTGGGTTTCTCACAGGAAAAATGGCCAATACAGCCCAGTCCTGGACGTAGTTAAAAAAAAAAACTTTTAAGCTAACTTCTTTTTTTTTGTTAAAAACCCTATGTGTTTTGAAACTATATGAGGTATGAGAAAAATTAATGAAACTGCTAATGAGCAAATATATTTGCTAAGCATTTGATTAATAGAATATAAACGTACATTTGTGTTTTCATAAATAAGATGTTCTTGCACAAAATTATTAATTTTTGTATACAAAAATAATAACAATGTTTAAAAAATATTGAAAAAAAGGAGAATTACCTTTTTAGATTTTCCTCATAAGATCTCCAAATATTTAGATAATCTCATTATTACTATTTAAGCTGAATAAATCTCATCAATGTCTGCGAATCTTCAATTGAAAGTTAGAATTTATCGATAATTTTTTATACATACTTGAATTTTAACTATATGAAAAGATATCGTTCTTTGCTGGCATGACTGTAAGAGCACATAATAATTTTGCTGCTCTTTGATAAGCTCCTCGATTTAAAGATTATTTTAGCTTCAATTAGTTACCTCTACTTATTTTCTCCTTTTTTAAAAGATAATCACCTACAACATATTTAGTTTTTAATAGGTTGCAAGTTCAGGATTATTTCCATGGACTTTAAAAATTCAGCTTAAAGAACTCTATCGAATCAGAAGTTTATTATTCTATAAAATTCCCAATAAATCGTATTCAACTTCTTGGCGAAATAAATCTCAAAATTACCTCGTTAACCAATAGGAAAATCGAATTAGTATTATGGAATTTTAGGTTTCTGTTTGAAACAAGAAAGGGAAAAAACCGTTTTATACAACAAGAATGGCGAAATATATTATATATATTCTATATATTTTTATATTTCATTTTTAGAGTTATATATATTTTTTACAATATGCTTTTAATATCATTATTATTATATTTATATTTACATGTATGAATAATAGTAAACTCAGAATTAATAACTCGAAATGTTTCAATTTTCCACTCCAAAAATATCTTCAGTGTGTCTTAATCTGATATGAGGACATATAATTTTATATGCGGCCCGTGGAATTGTTTCCAAAGTTGCATGCAAGATCATTTGGGTTGGCCACCCCTGATTTAAAGCTATCAAAAAGATGGAATGACTCGATTTTTAATTTCGCTAATTCGATTAATGAAGTAATGTTTTCTTAAAGATAGTTCTCACTAATATCTACAGATTTTCAGATTAATTTTAACGAGTTTCTTTGCTATACAAATTTTGTAACTAGAAAGAACTTTGTTGAAATTTGAAATTTTGCTTAACTCTTTTCCAATTGAAATGCAAATAGAAAAAGCCCTAGGGCCTTTATTAAGCGATCATTGAACAATATAAATGAATATGAGACACGTACGAGCAAAGTTGGCGAAGTTCTTCTGCATTTCCTGGAATGTCATCAACATCACCTCTGTCAGGGAAGCATTGGCCTATAGGTTCATCCGAACACTTGTCATCTGCTGCTAACACTCCTGAGAAAGCCCAAATATATTTTATTATTGTTGCAATATATATAGTAATAACATTGCTTAAATTATGCTTCCTCTAGCTTAAGAAAATGTCATATTTAACAAAATTTATTTGATTCGAATTTTTTTAATGCACATTTCAAATAATAATTGCAATCTGCCTAAACCTGTATGTCACAATATTAAAAAAATTAACTTACCGGGAAAAGCTTTTATTTTCAGCCAATTACATTTAAAATTAAGAAGATAACTTTGTTTTTCTCGTTCCAACTACCATGGTTTACTTAATGCTATGTTTTAACCAGTTTTGCTACTAGAGTATTTGAGTAATATAAATTTAGAATATATATAGTACAGCATAGGTACAGAGAGAACATGTTCTCAAAATCCGTAAATAATTAATACTAATATTTTTGTATTAGTATTAATTAATGGCAATTAATGGGTCGTCTGGCACTTAAATATCAATACTAACAATTTTTCTTTAAGCACTTTTACAAACAAAATTAAACCTTTCCTTCTGTATGTTGTAATATTTTGTACGTGCAATTTTCACTTCATTTATATGATTCTTTGAGCATTTTAAATTGTTTTAACATTATTTATATTATATATTAAATAAAAATATAATGTCGAGATTCGAATTTTAAATAAATTATAATTATATAAAAAAATCACTTTGAGCAAATTATTGTGCTATAACTAAATCGTGCTGTTAAGAATTATCTAGAAGACGGAGTTATGACTAGAAAGTATTTTTCAGGATACTCCTCTGATTTGTTGTTGTTGTTTTTGTTGTTTCTTATCCCACTTGGCTGTCCAAGCCCACGAGCCCATACGTACTCATGATTGAAGGGGAAGGAAGCAGCTTCTGCTGTGATGGAGAACCCGTAGGTAGAAGCCTGACTTTTGCTCCGTGACGCTCTTACAGTCATAGGAGACCGGGACCTACAGCTTAAAGTGGATTCCGAACCACTACAGACATCCATGGCACCGCCGGGATTCGAATCCGAAACCTGTGGCACAGAGCGCCAGAGCGCTAGACACTCCGCCATTCAGGTCCCAAATTTGCCAACGGCACGCCGTGTTCCCAGGTGGTCACCCAGCCAAGTACTGACCGCGCCCAATGATGCTTGACTTCGGTGATCTAACGAGAACCGTACCATGCTGCTCTGATTTAAATCCAATAAGGCAAGCAGTCTTTTGTTGTTATTATACAAGTCAGAAGAACACCCCAAAACTAAAATAGTTGTCCATTGAGCAAAGAATACTGTTGATAAATAACCGTTGAACAATTTGGTGTTGACTAAAGAGGAATACTGCCAACCAATTATTGCAATAGTGGGAGGAGATACAAGATATCAGTTTGTGTTCTCCTTCTCAATGGTGTATTTAATCAAACAATTTTACGAAAGCTTCTTTTTCGATGAAAAATTTTTTTCATTCCCTTCTATGTGCATTATGTTAATTTTTGTGTTAGTTTGCTGTCTTAATTATTTAAATACAAAATATTCGCTCTGTATTTTGAATTTGACGCCTTCCAAGTGGTGGATTGTGAAGTTTCACAAAAAAAGGTAATTGTCTAATGGTATAACAGGGTAATGCCGTAATTGTCTAATGGTATAACATGGTAACATCGTAATTGTCTAATGGTATAACATGGTAACGTCGTAATTGTCTAATGGTATAACATGGTAACATCATAATTGCCTAATGGTATAACATGGTAACATCGTAATTGTTTAATGGTATAACATGGTAACATCGTAATTATCTAATGGTATAACATGGTAACGTCAGTATAAAATGGAAAGATCCAAATAAATCTATTTAAATAATAAATGTGATAAACGAGGATTAAAGAGGATTTTTATTATAATGATTTCCTAATTTTATTTCAAAAGGATATAAATTACATTGAATAATTCTTAAATTTACTTATAGATTTTAATTTTTATTTAATTTCATATTTGTGCCGAATATTTTGTAATTTCTAAAATAATGCGTTTACAAATGCAACTTTGGATTACTTAGAACTCTATTTGAACAAATAATATTGTAATATAATCAAAATAGATTTAAAATAATTTTTTATGAAAAAAAAATGAATACAAACTTTCTACTTGAATAAAAACATTAAAAATAGGGTGCTGGCATTGATATACTATTTCATTTATATAACACTTCTGAACACAGAAAACTGATTTTAAATATGTGTTGCTAACATATATAAAATTTGTTTTCAATATTCTTAATGTAATCTCAAATTTAAAAACTTATATTAATGCTTTTTTATGAAATATTAGTGAAAATTTATTATTTCATCGACAAAATATCATTTTCTGTTTTAGCTGATAGCATATATGACACGTTATTATGGAAGAAAATTAAATCACTAAAAAATGATGTTGGAATTAAAACTAAAATACTAACAGAAATATAACGATTCTACTGTAAGTGTGAAAGGACGATTTAATTTAAAGATTATTTGAATTCTTGGCATTAATAGAGCATCTCAAAGAACGTACTTCTACATATTTTTGTGGTGTTTATAATGTTTTTAAATGATTGGAATTCACCTAGCTTTCTCTGACATGAGAATGATTGCTAGTGACAAAACACTATCAATAATACATGAAAAATGATGCTTTTTTGTCTTCCTTTATTTTAGTTATGGAAGGATAGTTAAAAGCTTACTTCATATAAATTTCAAAGTAATGAAAAAAAAGGATTGGATTAATCAAATCATTGGGATTCCCCAATTCAGAAATCAAGTGATTGCAATTCATGTAGCTTTCTCTAGCATGAGAATGATTGCTAGTGACAAAACACTATCAATAATATGTGAAAAAAGGACTCTTTTTTGTGTATTATTTTAGAAATGATATTTAAAAAGGTATTTTACATAAATTTCAAAGTAATGAACAAAATAATTGGATCAATCAAATGATCCACTGACAAAACACTATCAATAATGATGTTTTTTTATTTTTTATTTTAGAAAATAGATGATATTTGAAAACGTCATCTAATAAATTTCAAAGTGATGAACAAAAAATAAATAAATAAAACAATAAACTTGTTAACAGAATTCAAAATATTTAAAATGAACTGTATAGAATAGTAAAAATATTGATCGATATGACAATGAAAATAGGTGTATTTAGTTTCGGAATATTATAATGACATTTTGTTTTGTAATTTTGAGTAACATTTCAAATTTACGACTACTAATATTAAAGAAGAAAGATACATTGCTGTAAATATATTATTGGTTAAATTATTTACAATTGGCCAAATTTATGATTCGTTATTAATATTTTCATTATAATTATTATTTCATGAGAACTTATTTTTGATATGCAACAAAAATTAAACATCAATATGAAAAATATTCTTACCATTCCAGACACCAAAAATGACCAATAATAAGCCCCACATGTTGAATTAATGAATAGATTAAGTTTCTAAAATAAACTAATCAAATTGGATACTTTTAACTCTTTACATATCCCCACAAATACGGAAGTCGTTTTAATTATGTGACGGATATCCTGCTTCCTAATTGATTTCTGTTAATTGGACTTTTTCAGTTGCCTTATTATTTTATATCTTTTTCGCTTCCTGAGCATGTGTTTCTGTTGTAAATTTTTGATTCATTATATTAAAGCAGGGATAGAATGTGTGTTTAAAAGTTTTGAATGTATTAGAATGGCGCGAAGGGGATTCGTAGGATCAAAATTATTTTAAATTGTTTCTAAAATTTAGAAATTGTTATAGAAATATCAAGAACTTTGGAATAAATGTTCTATTTCCAATGGCAGGCTACAATAAGCAGTAAAATAAAAAGAACACAAGGAGTACAACAAGGACAACAACAACAAGAAACGAAGGAAATCCCATAAGGGCCCTAGCTTCCCAGTAACGACAATATATAGTAGAGGAAACAAGTGTAGGGCAGACAGGAAGTTGGGATGAATAAATGTCCTCTCCCAGATAGTAGGGCATGAATTTTGGGCTTTCAAATATTCTCGTTCGGAAAAAGTGATTGGTCAAACAAACATGGCCCGTCAGATGTCTGAAAAGGGCAACTCCATTAAACCTGGGCTGATTAGCGATGTTTAGGATAAATTTAAACCATGTTTTAGAAGAGTTGCATTCACGGAAATTATCAGATAGTGTGTTCCAGAAAAAGCATCCGACAATAAGTTCCATCGAGTGAAAAGATATGTCCTTACAAAACAGTTTGGGTGATGGTTGTTCCTTTTTTGGCAAGAGAATCCACCTACTCATTACCCAGGATCCCAAAATGGCCTCGGATCCACTGTAGAACGATATCCTTCCCCTTTGAGGCAAGATTTTCAAGACAAGAGAGGCAGTTTTACATGGAAGCTTGAAATAAATGTAGAAAAGATTTTTTTCTAGTTCTATTTTGAAATACAATGCAAATAAATCAGCTAGTTATGTATGATCCGAATGATAAGGAATTTGAAGCTTTTATCATGAAAGTTCACGAAAAAAACAATGAAAAATTCCGTTATTAATGAACCATTATCATGATAACATGTATAATAATTCATAAATTAACTGAAATAGGTTTTTTCAAATTGTAATTTTTGTTATGTGAACCAGTTACTGTATTATTTTTGATTATGGAATTTTCAATAGATTTCTGATTTCCGGATTTCATTTATTAACCAATTTTGTTAATAACGGAATTTTGTGCAGGGAATTTTTAAGGCTTCTTAATATATCCTGAATGCTACTTTGAACCTGTTGCATTTATAACTTTAATGACTTTTCATTAAGCAGCGACTGACTGTGTATTGCAAGTATAGAAATGAATTTTCATTCGTCCCAGCAATCAGAACTTCAGTTTATAAATTAATTATTTGTACAAAAATTATATTAAATGCAGAGTAATAACTGTTAAATATTATATCATTATCGGCATCAATAGGACGATAGACCAGAGTGGCCAAGGCTTCTCTTTGGAGATATTTCAATGCATTCCTCTGGGTAACAATGGTTCTCCAGTTCTTAAACTTTAGTACAGCAAAATCTTTTTCCAACTGCGTCTATCCATCGAAACTTAGGTCTTCTTCTTCTTTGTCCTGTGGCTTTGCCAAAACGAGCCATTTTACTGGGTTTAAATCATTCATTTTAAATACATGAGCAGCTCAGTTTAATCTAATGATCTTAATGAATTTTATAATATCTGGGTCTTTATAGCATTTCTGCGTTGTACTGTCGTCTCCATCAATCAGTTTCCTTAACACCTCTAATAATAGCCCTTAATATCTTCCGCTCAAATATACCCAAATGTGCCTCATCAGATCTTGCCAAATAAATTGTATATAATATAACAAAATTATACAAAGTAATAAAAAATTATTATTAAAAAAGTTTTATTATTCATAATTTATACAGACAAACACAAAAGTATAAAACATGTAAAATTGAACGAGAATTTAATTTAATTTCACATTTATCTGCCAAAAAATAATTAGAAATAAATATAAATACAAATCGAAATCTTTTTGATAACAGCAGGAACATCTTAGTAAATAAAAAAATATAGATAAAACCAAGTCCATAATTAAATATCTAAAATAGAACCATAGCTGCAAAAGGAAAATTGTACAATTTTGTTAATCAAGTAACATTTATTTTTTTTTCATTCTAACTTTAAATATTAAGTATATGTAACTGTTGAAAGAAATATTCATCTTCTCTGAAGCAAATCCATGACATAAAAAGTCTCGTGCACTTTCAATGTCAGTATTTTCAGCAACTCTTGCACATCTTCTCGTGATGGTCCAACGCACTGATCCTCAAGACCACCCATTCTAATGATCATTTGAAGAACGATGTCTTTAGCTCCAGGTCCACAGCTGTGGAGAGTTCTGGTGATAAAGCAATTCATGTTGAGGGCTGGCACTCTACAGTAAAATATATCGTTAGTATGTATTTAATATTTAAATAAAACATAACATAAATAAACATTTGTAGAATTATGCTATATATAGCAAAAGGCATTTTTTAAAATATCAGTTAATTTTAATTTCAATGTAAATTGCTCAAATATACTAAAAGCCAAATTTCATAACCCTTTTTGGTTAAAATTTTATATCTTCTGACGAGTAATATTCAAATGTTTTGGTATATTATCAATT